TGATGATTTTAACTTGCTCGCAGCTGTTGACGCAGAAACGCGCTCTGGACTTTGTAGTCGTAGGTACACTGTAGAATGGCGTTCAAATTCCATTATTCCGTCAAACAAAAGTCGCTGTTCTTGACTAGCTGCCACCTTATCCACTCGCCTAACTCCCCCTGCGGCGGGTCAGCGGCAAGTGTGAGGGCTTATAACGGTAAAAAGTGGGTTTCAATACCCGCAGTGGGAAAAGAACAGATAGTCTATTGCATAACTTTGCGCTTGACAACAAACCTAACCAGTCACTACTTGATCTGTAACTAGCTCACTGGTTTTTCACTTGTTATCGATTGCTTATTTAGACGAACGCTTAAGATTATATAGTTTATAATAACGTTTTAGGCTTAGCACCTCAGTCAGTGTCAGCCAAAACCACACTAGTATGACACCCATATTTATCGATTAGACTTCCAACACATAATTAATCAGCATTTTTTTTTTTTTTTTTATGGTACAAAACTGTGTCAAACGATAGACCTGTTTGTGTGCCTCGATGAAGCCGTAATATCGAAACATTGGTCTTGATTATTAAATAAAACCAATTATGTTTTCTGTAGTGATAGGAGGTCGCGTTTTACTAAACGTTTTAACAATGATTATAACTCTCCAGTTTTCATTACAAACCTTAAATTCTCATGTTTATGTCACAAACTTTAACTGTTAATGTATCACAGATTTTGATCTGAAACGTTTCCTTGAAGATGGACAAATCGTTCAGTTTATACGTTACGAAACAAAAAAACCTGTTTTGTTTTGTGTCAGTTCAGACCAGCGGTACAAAAGACAGTGGAAATAATGATAATGGATCTGAAATTTTTATCACGGCCCTGGATCAAACATGTACTTTATAAGTGAGTGTTACACCAAGATAAATTGAATTGAATATTAACATTATATTTTGATATTTTTAGGTCATCGAACTGTGTTTGCTTTAATTTCTCCGAAAGGGAGCCGAAGGCCGCCTGGAGGGGTCACCTGTTTAAACCATTCGCACCACTATAAAGTAGTGTGTTGTCTGTCAGTCAGTAGACACTAAAATGACATCACATAAGGGACACGTAACATTGCAATTTGTACTGTTGTGACGTCAGTAAAACGTGCACATGGCATGAATCACGAGAAGAATTATGCACTCTGTAAGTTACAACACAGCATGACACATGAACTTGACACATGTCACTAAAATGACATCACATAAGGGACGCGTAACATTGCAATTTGTACTGTTGTGACGTCAGTAAAACGTGCACATGGCATGAATCACGAGAAAAATTATGCACTCTGTAAGTTACAACACAGCATGACACATGAACTTGAAAAGCAAGAAATAAAAATGTTTGCTACTTTTAATTTTAGTTTTATTTACTCTTGAAATGGAACACTTTCGGGAACCCTGCGGAAATACATCTAGTCTTATGAAATAACCCATTAAATTAACACTATTGAATATCTTTGTTTTTGTAAAGTGCCGCCAGTTTTTAGTATTTGATGTCAAGTACACATTATACGTATACTTATATATTACTTAATGAGGTGAGGCTCTACAGTGGCACAGCTGTAAGTGTGATGCAGAAAATCGGGTTTCGATACCCGTGGTGGGCACAGTACAGACAGCCCATTGTATAGCTTTGCGCTTAGCAAGGAACAAATCTTTAATGGGGAACATTCTTTCGGACTGACAGATGGTTCTACGTCAGGGTTCACGTGATTTCACAACCCAACTTCTCATTTCGTATGTTGTAATTCTGCTTCAAATATCTACTGCTTTGATTGAACACACACACATTTTTGTTATTTACCTTATAAAGTTAAGCCCCCCGCCCCCCGAAAAAAAAGAGGGAGTTTCGAACATCGCTCGATTTTTTTTTCCATTCGACGTTGTGTCATTATAACTGTCTGGTATTTATAGAAAATTACCCCCCCCCCCCAACTCCGACTCGAATTTTATTTTATTTTTCATTCGACGTTGTGTTTTTATAACTGTAGTGTTTAAAAGGAGTTTTGGTTTTCCTATCGTTTAACAGTAAACCTTTTCGTAACCTTTAGTTTTATCAGATATTCACTGTTCTTTTATGTGGTGATATATTTGTAGGAACAGTATGCTGCTCAGTTTGATCTTTGACCTTGACTGGTAGACCAAGGTCCATAGTAGTCTTGGTTTTCTTTTTTGTTTATGTCGTTAGGAGTATTAAGTTCTTGCACATAATTTCAGAAAATAGGTCATACATTTGTGAGAAACGTACGTGTTACATACATAAAGTGTGTTTGTGTTACTACATAAAATGTGTTTCACAGTGCTGGTGGGGTGAAAGTATAACTAAAGAAGGAAAAAGGGAGAAACACAGATTGTCAACCCAACCATAACGCCTAAAATCTTTAGAAACTGTACATAAAATCAGTACTTTCTCAAGAAGGGTTTTTTTCATTTTTCTGAAAGAAGTGACAGTTAAGATCAAGTGGAATTCGAACCTGCAGCATTTATTAAGTTATTGCACGTACTTTCGCAATTAAGACTTATCGGCACAGTCTTCCTGAAGCTGATTTTACACGAAAATCCCTCGACGCTGGGGACAGTTGGCATACTCTTAAATACTTTGGAAGAGTCCTAGGTCTGAATCCCGTCCGATCTAAATTTTCATTTTTTTTTCAGAAAAATTCTTACATCGTGGGACGGTGTTTCATCCTGAATAATATTCTACATTTACGGCGTCGTTCTTCGAAACCGTAATTAAACTAGAATATAATCGAACACGTTACCACTATGTGGCGTTAGACGAATAACCTAAATGGCATCAGCACAAAGAACACACGTATTTACAAATTTCCGTGTTAGTCTCTTCACTTGATCGAAAATGTCAACGTCGGGAATCAGGTCGCACGTTTATCGATTGGTTTTTCATTTTCTGTTATTCTCTAAATTTAATTCTACGAGAGAAAAAAAGTAATAAATATCCAGAGAAGTGTGTAAAAACTTGTGATAACGTTTGTCCGTGCACAGCCGTCATTTTGTAAAATATTTGATATTCTTTCGTGATGATAAACTCTTCAGCAACAACACGCACCTGACTTACTACTACTTTTAACAACCTGTAAGGACTTTAGTTATGAAGTGCTTTGTGACAAACAACCCATTCTTGTTTTGAGTGGAAATTCCGCATCAAGTATCACGTTCGAGATAAAGATTAGCTCAACGGTGTAATGCTGTTATTCATTCTGAATATAAATGAAATACGAGATTTGATAAACATAAACTGTACGGCGATCTCAAGAAAACTATATATAAAGCGTGTAGTTTTCGTCACAAACTTACAGCTATATCAGCTGTGTGTTCAGTGGCGCCATTTCAAAATGGTGGGGGGGGGCGCAAAGTTGAACCACAATTTCGATACAATATGTGAACCGTTGATGACGTAGCACATTTCGGAGTCCATATATCGACTGTAGTAACGACGGAAAACCAAAAGATTATGAAAAAAAAAATCGACTTTCACTTTTTTTACATTAATTTTAGTAATTTTCAGTAATAATTACCAATTTCTCAAAAAAAGAAAGAGTTAAGGCTTAGGTGGAGCAGCCGCCCCCCCAAATTAGCGCCACTGTATGTATTAATATAACTTTTAACTTGTTTACATATTTGATGATTATGCATTCAGAACATATCTGATTATAGTGTGTGTCTGTCTGTGTATACGTTGCTTTAAAGTTCAGAAGAAAAAAACCGAGTTAATCCATCGACCTGTAGTTCATTACTGTGTCTAATGTTTCAAACAGGTTTGGTTAGACGTAGAGGGGGAGAAAGTAAAGCTTTGGGAAGAGTTATTGTCAATCGTTTTCTTTACTATTTCTCTCCTCCCCTCCCTCGTACAAAAAAAAAACTGCCCCGCTGTCAGAAGGACAGTACTCTACGTTTCTGGTTCTGTTAAAGTTTCCCTGTTTATGTTCTGAAGTAAGAAAAGGCAGGATAATCAAATGGTGCTTTCATTCTGGAAGAACTTTTAAAAATTATAAAATGTAAAATTCTAATATTTTTTGTTGTTGTCGTCGTCGTTTCTGTAAAATAGTAAATTGCTTTATTTATAATTAGGTTAAATATTGATGGCTGGAATTAATAATAAAAGGTCATACGATTGAACAAATATATTAATAAACTACCTTTATAGACAACGTATCAATGAAATCTGTCTCGTATTGATTCTCGCAGTAACAGACGATAAAAGAAGGCTACACGCAGACTCTCGCAGTCTGTACACCTAGAAGGAGTAAAAAACTTTAAAAACAAAAAAATTGGTAGTTGTTTGGTTTTTTTTTTAAATCACCCTTTCCTGGCAAGAGTTTTCGATTACGTACTCATCCTTGTCGATTTTTTCCTGGTGGCTCGTTTCAACCGTACTATTGAAGTCTCGGTATTTGTATAGGCCAGGAAGTGTTAGCTAGCCGTATTACTAATTAGTTTGTGGGTTGTTTCTTGTGTGTATAAATTCAAACTTACAATATACCAGTACCCTGAATTTATACTGTATATATATATATATAATGGTATGTCTGATAATGTTTCATTTATCTTATGCTTTTGTGTACGATTTAACTACATACCGCATTTATTTTACTTAATTACTTGAGCAGGGGGCGGGGGGTTCCGTGCAAATAATTTCAACTTTTTTTGTACTGTAATTTATTTAGTTTTGTCATTTATAGTTAGGGGGGTTATATATGGTTTTATAAATTTAATTGAACGTTAATTATATAAAAAGATCGGAAAGTGGAACTTTGAACTTTACCTACGATGAGTTACAGGGAACTTGAACCCCCTTTGAGGCGACTATGTTGGGGTATTCGCACCCAGCAACAGCACCCGATTCCTACAACGCAGTGAGAACGTGATCCCTGTTAAAAGGTTCAAGACATGTATTATATTGTATAAGAGAGACATCGTGTACGTGTACATAAAGTGGTGCACACCTTGGTTGAGCGTTGCGTTTACGGTTTAGTGTGCAAGCTCTGACCCACGGCTAGAGTTGGTCAGTGCACCGCGGGACTGCCTGCTTTGTTTTGTGGAGGCATGCTTAAAATATGAAAATAATAGAGGGAAGATGAAGCTTTAGACAGTAAAAGCTCACACACTGTCCACTGACGACGTTATGGCGCAGCTAACATACAGCGATAGAACGAACGAGAGAAAGTGTGATCACCAGACCGGTCGGTAGGGAACTGTGAAGTTGCCGAGATAATGAGGACCTGGCTGTAGGAAAGCTAACATCGTTGTGTGCTGTTCTGTAGAAATAGCTGGAAGCTGGCTCCCATGTTTGCCCTACTATTAAGAAGTACTCATGAGGGGTAAGATAAACTTTTTATAGTAAACTGTATCGCTCGTGTGTGCCTTAGCAGAGACGTAAAAAAACGGAACAAAAGAAAACTTCCAAATTCGTTATGTAGCGCATGTACGTGACGTTATAAGTAAGGCGTTTCAATTAGCGTGCGTAATGTGTTATCATGATACTTCACTCAATGCATGCATTTTTATTGTCAGGATTCGTTCCTGATGTCAGTTTCTCATGGTGGAATGAATCATTCTGTTTTTTGTTGTTGTTTTTTTTTTTAGTTCAAGCTCGGTTACGAATTAGGCATCCTTGGTTAATTGAATCACTCTGTGATCGAAAGAGTAATTAAAATATATGTAAGTCCAGGTGTATAGGCGATCATAAAAACAATTTGTGCTAAATGTTCGGTAGGTGTATTAAGGCCGGAGATTGGGGAGGGGGTGGGGGGCAGTGTGTAGTGAACGGACATTTTGTTCTCTACTTTTGTCCCCTTTCACGGCCTGCTGTTATCTTTTGGTCGGGTGACAACCACATTCATGCATGGTGGTTCCACACATTCGATTGGAAGCTTCGGGGTCCACAGTTTGTGCCCAACTTGCAGTGAAGAACAAATATGGCCTCTAATGCTACTGGCAGTGAGTAAATCGTGAGTCATATATAGGAGGCCAAGGTACTGGAAACACGCAACGTTGTAGGGCATGCGGAGTAATGAGGATGCGACGGAATACATTCTACTGGGCGCTATAAAACAATCACATGGTCACCTTTATACATATATTAGTTGTTTTCAAACTGGTGTATTTAAATGTTTTACACTCACACACAAAAAAAACTATCATTCTATAGGTATTCGAAGAACTTGTAGCAATCCGCCACAATTTAATTCTTCGTATTATTTATTTTTGTTTTCTCACCAGTACTTTAAAACTAAAAATAAATAATAAAAAAATGAAAATATATTAATAAATGTTTTTGGAAGGAAAAAAAAGAAATACTCTTGGTCTTTTACTAAACGAAGAAATAGATTATAATTCATTTCTTTGTCACTGTTCATTATTATCTAGGGGAGCTTTAAATATAAAATTAGATGTATTGTTGATTGCCGAATAAATGGTCCTGAGTCTCTTGACAAACAATTCTTAGGGAACCTCATGTTTCTAGAAGTGACCCCCCCCCCACAAAAACAAACAAATTCTGTATCTCAATACAACTTAAACACGAAATATATATATGTATAAAGCTGTACTATTGATAGTATTATAATGCTACAAAACATGGACGTCCGTAGAAGTTTTTTCCGGGGGGGGGGGTTTTGAAATTGTGTATTGAATAAAAAAAATTCGGGTGCGCACACAAACACACACACACATATATATATATATATATATGCTGAATGAATAAATAAGAATTATGTTTCTTATTTTCCAACGGATGCAAGTGCCCCCACCCCGGATTAAGAAATGAATATTATTTGCCTTGTCATAAATTGGGGGAAGTTTGCTTTTAATATATTCTCGTCGATGGAAGGGGGGGGGATAATGTCGTAGCTTTTCATTCGTACTTTCATTCCAGTTGTGAGGTTAGTTTGAAATTCATTATGAGCTATTGCACGTGATGGCTACATTGAACTCGAAGCTTATTGACAGGGTCGTTCTGAAACTGACTTCACGCAAACAAGTATTTAGAACTCGAGATAGCTTGCATTGCTTGAAAGATATACAGAAAAGTCACGGGCTCGAGTCCTGCCAGGTCGCAGGTTTCTGGTCTCCAGAGAAATTCGAGTCATAGAATTGGCTATTGGTGATCCTCTGTAGCCATTCACATAAACAAATATAACCTGTGCCTCTTTACATTGAGTTAATCTGGTATTTCTAATACCATGTGATTTTGATCCATACAAATTCAACCTTAAAAATTATCTAGGATATAAAACACATCATATGTATCTATGTATGTGAGTGTGTGTGTGTGTGTGTGTGTGTGTATATATATATATATATATATATCATATAGTAATTTATTTTTCTTACTTTTATTTCAGTCGATATTTCACCATTCTGCATTCTTCGGAGCTAGTAGTACAAGAATTATTTCCATTTCCAAATAATTATTTTACAACTATCCCTGATGAAGCCACAGTGATCAAACATTGACTGGAATAAAGTTATTATTATCTGGAGAGTAAAGTAGTTTTTTTTTTCATATTTTATAGTTAAATTGTTTAAACCCCTCCAGTATGCATTACAAATTCTGAAAAAGAACATAAAAATATGTGTAATACATTTTACAACACTCGCTATAATAATAATAATAATAACAGGATTATGCTACAAGCAGTAGTTGATTAGCTTGTGGTAGACTTATAAATAAGTACTGCAGAATTATTCATATTTAACCTATATAAAAATATGGCCTGATATCTGAACAGGAGTCAAGGTCACAGGGACGTTTATCACTGTCTCGGAAATAGGAGATAAAAGATTTATTAACTCAGATACTGTATGTGTTTGGATTATGAGGATTTATAAACTAAACTCAAATGCTGTATATGTTTCTGATATGAGAAGCTATATAGTTGTGAACTGTGATTAACATTTAATATGAAAGTGTTTAGAATTTCCTTGTGTTGTTATGAACACGTGTAGAGATTGTGCATGTTTCACGAAGACTAGGTTACATCGTTATAATATTTTATTTAGTTGTACAACACCATTGTTTTTACCATTTAAAAAATTGGTAAAAGATCAAAGTATGGATTATAGTTTACAATAAGAAAATGAAACATTTAATAAATTATAATGTTTCATAATTTTTACTTAAATGATTAATAAATTATAATATTAAACCCAATATATCATAAATGGCATAACCAGCACTTCAGATTGGGAGTTGTTTAAAAAAACACAAAAAAATTTAAGTGATTTACCCTAGCCTAAATGAAACTCGTAAGATGAAAGAATTCAAAATTTAAGAGAGCCATGTATTTATTTATTTTTTTAAATCGGAAAATTGTGGGCCTTTTAGACTTTAAAATAATGAGATGGTTGTCACTCCCCTCTCTCCCCACTACTACACTTCTGATCATCATAGATATTTGAAACAGTGCAGTTTTGTCTCTCTAGACAGCTTTCATAAATTTTTATGATTTAAGACCTTTTTTTAAAGAAAAAGAGATGGGAAGGTAAGGACCATAAAAAAATGAGTTAAGTTTAAACTAATAGGACATAATCTTACATCTTTTACTATTTTTGAAAAGCAGAGATGACTTGTGATATTGATTTTTTTGAAATAACTTTATTTGTTAATTATTAACAATTTTTGTACCAAAAAAAAAAAGTCAGCTATCTATATAGCTAAGTTAAAAGTAATTCGTACATTAACTTGGGTAATCCTGTATAGTAAAATGACTAGAAATATTTTGGTATGAATCAATGAACACCTGTAATGATTAGATAGTATTGAACCACCAGGTGGATTGTCCCACTGTTAATAATATTTTTTGGCTCTAATACTGATAATATGAGATTTGTTTAACTTACTTTAATGGTTAAGGTTCAATAACTTATATTAACAATGCAAAAAAGAGGTGTAATTATAATTAAAAAATTATTGTTTTAAATGTTTTAACAATAAGACCTAATTAAACTTTTTATAGATAGAAGAAATTTTTTAACTAAACCTGATACACTACATACTAATACTTCAGTGGTAATGACCAATATATATTTCTGTGGGGTCATAAGCCAAACCTATAGACATATTCTGAAGTAATACTTAGTGATTTTGTGCTTTATTAAAATGTCAATAAAAATAGGGGTGATGCTTGGCATGGCTTGGTGGTTAGGGTGCTAGACTTGCAATCTGTGGGTCACGGGTTAAAATCCCCGTCATTGAACATGCTCACTTTTTCAGCTGTGGGGGCATTATAATGTGATGGTCGATCCCACAATTCATTGGTAAAAGAGTTGGCCGTGGGTGCTATTGGCTAGTGCGAATAACCCTCGGGTAGTTTTTGCAAAATTCAAAATAAACCGAATGAAACAAATGGTGGGGGGGGGGGAGATTTTGGGTAATATATTAGTACCCATTTATAATATGTATTCTCCGCACGTTGCATCATATTATTTCAAAGCTGATTTGATATGTGCGTAATTGAACATATTCAAAACACTGAAAAAGTATTTTTGTATATTTTAAGGTAAAAAGGTGTGAAACTTTAATGTTTAGTGTATAAATTCATTAATTGTAATACCTTATTAGTCTTATGTACAGACTCCTCATCATCAAAATTGTTACTCATATAATTTTTTTTTATTTAATTTGTAGACAAAACTTTGAAGTGCCAGTAATGGACAATCTCCAAGGAAACCTGGATCCTCGTAAACAAGAACTTCTTGAAGCTAGGTTTCTAGGAAACCGAGTAAGAAGTAACAGATGTGTAACATGTCTACAATATGTCTTTTGTAGATGTGTGTGCATTTTGGTTAAAATTAAAGAAACAGAGTTGTTTGGGTACAGAGAAATGATTAGGATTCGAGTAAAAAATTACATGAAATTTTGAAAGTATGATATCGTATTTTTTGTATTAATTTTGTTTTTTACTATAACAATAAAAACACAGTTATATATTGAGTGTTGACATGGTAGAAGTATGCCTTTTATATCACTCGGAAATAATCATTGTATTAATTTTAATGTTTGCAACGATTCCAAAGCAAAACTATTCCCGTAGTTTTCATCCACTTACTTAAACATGGCTAGAAGTTATCAGGTAATAAATAGATTTGTCAAACATGTTTGGTTTGATTACCTGTATTGTAAATATTTTATCAACATTATGTTGCTGTCAGTATGTAGTTTTCAAGCTCTGCTTCGTGTGTGAGTTAAATCAGTGTGTATCTTCCATCTCTGTTGCTCTAAGTACGTGGCTTTTAAGTTGCCTTGTTTTGGTTAAAGCACCTGCCATTGTTAATATGTGGTTTTCAAGTGATTATTGTGTTGGTTAAACACTTTCTATTGTTAATATGTGGTTTTCTAGTTATCACTGTGTTGGTTAAACACTTGCTGTTGTTAATTTTTGGTCTTCAAGTTATCATTGTGTTGGTTAAACACATGCTGTTGTTAATATGTGGTTTTCTAGTTATCATTGTGTTGGTTAAACACTTGCTGTTGTTAATAAGTGGTTTTCAAGTTATCATTGTGTTGGTTAAACACCTGCTGTTGTTAATATGTCATTTTCAGGTCATCATTGTGTTGGTTAAACACTTGCTGTTGTTAATATGTCGTTTTCAGGTCATCATTGTGTTGGTTAAACACTTGCTGTTGTTAATAAGTGGTTTTCAGGTCATCATTGTGTTGGTTAAAAACCACTTATTAACAACAGCAAGTGTCAGGTCATCTTAGTGTCTTGGTTAGAGTACCTGAGATTATCTAAGAAGTTTTTCAAGCTTCCCTAATTTTCAGAAAGTTGAAGTTTTTAAAATGTGTTTTTATAGTTCCTGTAGCTTTCTTGGTTAGAAAACTTGCTGCTGTTTTCTGTATGACATAAATGTATCATAATATTTGTGAAGGTTGAGGGGGTGTTACTTACACGTACTAAGCAAAAATTTTAAAAACTATTGACTGGTTGGAAAGAGCTGTTTATCATCTGTTATTTATACTTTTAGGGATTCAACCTCCCTCAGGGTCAAATTGACCAACAGCAACGGTTATCTCAGACGTGTGGAGTGTCTGCTCTTCAGAGTTCCATTAGTCAATCTCAGAGTCAACTAGTGCAGAACAACTGTTTTCAAAATCATAATGAAGGATCCAACCTCAGTACAACAAGTCTTGGTTCCACTCCTAGTGACAAAGAACCAGAGGTAACTAGTGTGGACCTTCTGAATTTGTTCTCTTAGAAATTGATTAAGTAATATTTAGGATAATGCTTTCAATCACAGTGAGTAGTACCGGTAAAAAGGGTTAAAAAATATTCATCTATTAAAGCAATCTTTTAAATAGTTTTTTTTTTTTCTTCATCAATATCCAGTAAGTTTAAGTTGACTGTTATATCTTGTGTTGGGTGAAACAAGTTTTTTAAAAATTCACCAAGATACTATGAATTTTTGTAAACATTTTTATCCAGGAAACAAATCAAACTTGCCATGCTCAGCACTTCGACGAATACTATTGTAAGAGCTCATTCTGCTTGTCAACTATTATAATCAGTGGTTTGATATAAAAAAAATATGGTTTGGTCATGGTGAGGAAAAGCAAGTGAATGGTCTATGTTAAGTAAAAGAAGAAAATATAAAAACGTGAAATTTGGAGTGTTAGACTATACTGATTGACTGTTTTACATCTAATACAACCAGAAATACATAGAGTTACAAATGGAGGGTTTATAATAATAGTTTTTTTATATTAGTTGATTTTTAGTACAAACTGAGTTATGGTTCTAAAAAATGTTTTATGTAAATTCTTTTTTTTTATATATCAATAATTAGATCTAACTGGAAAACTTCAGACCCATCAAATATTTTCTTGAAAACATCAAACTGTATTTAATTGGATAGAAAGATCTGGCTTGGTTACAGTGTGATAGGTAAGTACATATTGAAGTCACTGTTGGTGTTGTTGGGTGAGTATAAATCTTGTTGAATGTTCGGAATAAGTTTAATAAAGGTTGATAGAGACGAAGGGAATGGTGAAAGTTGTAAAAATGAAATATGCATAGTTTGGTCCAAACTTGTCCGAAAAAACATTTTCTAGTTTTAAAAACAAATGCTTAAAACAAGTTTCAGCCAAGGAGCCAAAGTTTCCCAGTGGTCTTGGCTCCTCCTGACAAATATTCAGAGGATTCTACTTCTAAAGAGTCACGTGTTTGATTACTAAGCACTTTGTTATATTAGTAGTGTGAGAAAGATATATTACTTACACATGCCTTGATTTGAGATAAAATATTCTATTATTGAAAATAATGACTACATGCTTAAACTTTATTAAAAAATTGCCAGTTTTACTTATCAATAATATTATACATTATATTGAGTTTTTGTCTTCATGACATAAAATAACTTTTGAAAAAAATTGTCATAAATGTTTCTTTTTTAATCAGTTAATTGAAGCTAATCAAATCCTGATATAGGTAAAACTAATATCATGTAAAACAGTCTTGATACAAGTGTTGTTGTTTTTTAATTTATGTAACAAAATATAATTGCAACATAAAAGAGTTGTTGGGTTGGAGGTAAATTTCTATTCAAAAATGAAAAATTTAAATTGGTGTATAAAAGTAATATATTATCACACAACAGAGATTTGATTGGAGCTAACTGTATATTCTAAGAGATACGCTCAACAAAACCATTAAAAATTACATGGTATCACCTGATAAGAAATATCAGTTTAGAAGTAAAATGTTTTCAACACACAATTATAATTTAGACCCCAGAAAAACAGCTGTCTCGAACTCCAACTGAGAGGAAAAGGAAAAGAAAGGAGGAGCAGTTACCAGGTAAACAACACCAGCCATCAAATTATTTCCAAAACTTTATTAGTAGCTTTGTATTATCTTACGATTATCGTACTTTCTCGTGCGTTCAGATTTGATCATGCTTAAACAATTTCTGGTATAAAATACATTGTAACATTTAGTTTATTCACAGAAACTTTGTATAGCTATTGTGTATATTTCTTAAAAACGTATAAATCAAATATAGTAATAATCTATATTTATGTTCTCTATAGATTTTACAAAATTACATAATTTTGAAATGCTTATGGCAAGCTCATCTAGGTATTATGATGATCACTAGGTAAAATGTGAAATTATGTATTGTTTGTAGAATCTGTAAATTGTTGCTAATTTGAACTAATTCCGAGAAAACAATGTGTCAGAAAGTTTTATGGTAGATAGAAGTATTTAATTAAGTTCTCGATAGTTTATGGTGTCCGTGTAACATTAAAATAAAAGATTGGAGGGAAAATAAGCTTCTCCTTGTGGAATGTATCCGCAAATAAGTATTAAAACTGTGACAACTTACAAAATTATTGAGTTCATCCTTTTGCTTATCATAAATTCATATATATTTTTTGAATAAATAGAGTTGTTTAAACATTCGTTTAACAACAAATAAAAGCTTGGAATGGTCTATTCTTTCATTGGGTGGTGTGTCTGTGAGCCAGACTAGTTTCAGAAAATTCCACTCCTCATCAGTGACCCTGAACATTACCACCAATGAAATATGTTTGTTTGTTTTTCCTGGCAGTTATTTAGATTTAAAAATAATTATTTCCGAAGAAATAATTACTAATCAAGGGTGCTCGGAGATTAAGCAATCCTTCTTCACCCTGCTCATGGCATAAGGTTACATTTCAATTAATGGTCAGCGGAATAATGAGCCATATGGGCGAAGGGGTAATAGTAATAATTAATAAATTAATTAATAGAATAATTAGACCAATGAAATATCAGACCAAACCAAGTCTTTATAGTAATGAGGTATCGAAAATTGAACTGGTGTATTTAAATGTTTTACACTCACAAAAAAAGAAACCTATCATTCTACAGGTATTTGAAGAACTTCTAGCACAATTTAATTCTTGTATTGTTAACTGACACTGGGCAGCTTGTACATAATTGAATAAATAGAGTTGAATGATAGGTTTCTTTTTTGTGAATGTAAAACACTTAAATACACCAGTTCAATATATATATTTCATTTTAATGTATTATTTATTGGATATTATATCAGGAACTATAGTTTACCATGTGTTTGGTATCAAGAGTTTGTTGTGGATATTCAGAATTAACAAATAGTAACACCACTAGTACCTGTAAATTGAAAGTACCAAAAACCGTAGATACACATTTAGTATGTCTGTCTGTTAAGGTTGCTTCATCAAACGTCCAATTTCTTTTTATTGTTGTAGCAGGAGGTAAAGGTGTCAGGAGTGAGACAGGGAAGAAGATAAATGAATACTTCAAGGTATCATTTCTTATCTTACATTTTATTCTTTATCAACTAAGAAGAGTAGGTTTTACTTCTGATCTGATGTTTAAATGAAAGGTTTTATAAATAATTTTACATGCATTTTTTAAGTTATTGATTGATTTATTTTGAATTACATGAATAGTTGAAATATTTTGTAAGCATACTTAGTATTTTGTTATTGCTCAAGTTAATCTTTTAAACAGTTTTTGTAGATTCAATAAAACTTAAAGAATTTGTATGATTAGATAGAAATATTTACAATGTTTAATTATCAGTTAGAGGTGTACAAAATGTTTGAAATTATCTTTTAGGAAAACCTGTGATGATTTGTTTTTTACTGAGCATTAAAAGATATCAATATATATATATTTCTCTTACAGCACCAAGGCCTCAGTCCTAGTCGGTATGGCGGCTCCAAGTCTCCAACATCTCCAGGGATTTTTATGGTATGTAGGCTAAAATCCAGTTTTTCACATTCTTTGGGTCTAAAGATTGAATACTCTTAGGAAAGTGAAGATTTAAAAAAAAAACTTTTAATCATTAGAAAATAATCAATTCATTATTTAGAGAGAATTTCTGAGAAGACTTTTAACCTGAAAACTTATATTGCACACACATCCATATCCAGGGAAGAGAAGTTGAAGAAATTTATTTATTAGTGAGAATACTTCTCACTTTGATTACATAAAAGCTAATAATGCAGTCAACTTTAGGAAACTTTGAGTTTGTACAACCTTGGTATGGCTAGATTTCAGTTTACTAGTATTAAATTTCAAGCCAAGACCGTCTAGTTATGTAAGGTAGACCTTTTACATGGCTGCTCAGTATTTTTTAATTTGCGATAAACTTTTTTCATGGAATGTGAAAAAAAATTTTTTTTCCTGAGTGAATTAATTCAAATTTAACAGGATTTTCAGTGTGTTTAAGGTCAGTTTTATATTTCTTAGCATATTGTTTTCAGTATTTGAGAAACTTTAATAGTTTTTAGTTTGATTATTGGGATCGAGGTATTAAATCATGTCCACATTGTTATAATTAGATACCTGTGATATATTTTCATTTAATGTTTAATCAGTTTTCTCTTTCAGTCTACTTTTACATTTAATTTTTTTTACACACGATTTTTATACTGACTTAACAAATAAGATGAATTAAATCAGTTTTTCATCACAGCCATTAGATCACATACCCTGGACAGACAACAACTGAACATTACTATAATAGATGATACAAAATGTGGACCCCACTGGTAGTGAACAGTATAAGTAGGCTTAACAGTTACTTTGTTTTCTATAAAAATCCTGTCCAGCTCCAAACTTTTGTATTAGCAAGGATTATAAGTTTTGATTTATAGGACAAGAGAAATATGTTATTAATGAGAAGTAATGTTATAACTCTGTAGAAATTATACAAAGAAAGTCATGAGATCTTGTACTGATCATTTTCAACCATCTACATCTAGGGTAACCAGCTGAGTTCATCTTCTGTAAATACCAGTCTAGATTTTTCAAATATGGTTGTTCCAGTACAAAGAGCAGGTCAGGTCTGTCACAGAGCCATCCAGACAGATCTCACTATAAATAAGATAAAAGAAGTAGAAAGCAAGTCAGCAATGGATCTAGAAATGAGGGATAACAAAATAGATGAATTACAAAGGGTAAGCTGTCATGTGGTATCTTTCTCTTAAATGAAAAATAACACATTTAGCTTCACTATACACTGTATTTTTATTACAAAGTGACAGTTCTAAATATTGAAATGTTACTGACTTTGTTAAGATTAAGCTTTATAATACACATTTAATGGTTTGTTAATCAATATTAATTTCTGATCAGAGCAAGCTACCTACTTAGATCAAAAAATAAGAATCAACCCAGTAATAATTATATCTAATTAAATATCACTGTTCTTACGCATAAAGATTAGGGTGCACCGTTTCATCTATTAGCGATACTCGCACTCGTAAAGTTTTCTGAAAGAATCTTCTGCCAGTATAGTTATGTTTTTGTGTTCTAAGAAGATTGTCTTGTTCAAGAATTTTGATTTATCACTTGTAATTTGAATTATTGTGGTTATTATTTATAATAGTTGACATCTTTCTCTGTAATCCGTATTTTTATCTTATTTTTTTGTGGGAGAATTTTTCTTTTTTTTTCATAACATTAAACTTATTTAACGTTGATCATTGCAGGCTAGCGAAGAACTAAAAAGGCAATTACAAGCTCAACAAAAACTCATAGAAAAACATAAGGAACAAATCAAAAAGTGTACAGAAGTAACAAAACAACTACTTATAGAAAAGGTAAGCATATTTTGTTTTAGTTCAACGCAGTAATAAACAGAGTAAGCTACAGTACTGCAATACTTGAATGGTTGCATACTAATTCTGTTGAACTCGTGACTCCGTGTACTAGGTGAAATGTAGATGTTATGGTTTGTGTTGCTCACGAATATAATCAATCGTTTGAGCAGAAAAAATTCTGGTTTCTTGATGAAACAGATTGTTATATTGTATATTTTTGATTAGCTTACGTGTTTTTGTTTATTTTACTGAAATAATGCATTTTGAATCCACTTGTAATTTAATCTGTGGAACTACAAATGTCGTAAATCCAATATTTTTACGTTATGTCTTATCATTTTATTAGGATGCTTCATTTAAAATTGTAAATGTAGGCCTAAATCAAGTTAGATTTTTTTTTTAAAGTAGGCCTTTGTTAATTTTTCATCTCCATTTTCAACATTACTGTATCTTGTCTTCAAAACTGTACTATTTATATATATATATGATTGACTGGAAACTTTATTTAATGTCTTCATTTGACAACTTAGCAGTTAAAACTGTTTTTATGTGAATGTTCCAAAAGTTGTACAGATCAGTTTATCAGCTTTTAATCAGTAACGTACAATTTACAATTGAAATTACAAAAAAAATACATTTTTTCAGTTACTAAATTAATTTTACTGCTTTTTGCATATTTAAAAAAAAAACACTAATTCCAAAAATGACTGTCCAGTTTTTCATGTTTTGTTGGCCTTAGTTGAAGAATGGATGACATCTTGTGTTATGATAATAACTTCCTTTGATCGTATATTTAATAACGAAAAAAAAAGTAGTGGTTAAAAGTCATGTCTTACTTCATGGTGTAATTTCTTTCTTTTACTTTTAAATTTTTTATGTCAATTAAAATTTTTTTTTCAACGTAATAGTCCATGATGGAGAAAAAACAAGCCAGACAAAGATGTATGCAGAATAGGCTGAGGCTAGGTCAGTTTGTGCCCCAGCGGCAAGGGGCATCTTTTGTAGAGAACTGGGTAGATGGGCATGCCTTCACGGAGTTGATAAAGTAAGAGTTCGAGCGAGAATTTGGTGTTACTTGCATGTTTTGTATGTGTATATTAGTTAGTAAAGATGTTTTCCCGATACAGATGTCTATCATTAGATCTTGTTTTGGTAATAAATCAGCAGTGAATTCCGATGTTGTTGTTATTGTTTTTTTTTCTTAATATTGAAGTGGGTACTAGGTAACAATACCAGAGGTTTCACCACTAAAAGATCATATGAAAAAAAAATTTTTTAATTTCTCATTAATCCTATGAATATAAATGAAGTTGAACCTTGTGTCGGTGGAAATTGTTTTGATATGTATGCAGTGATACTAATAAGTTTAGAAAACTGTTCTGACAGCTGGTTATTATACTGCCAACCTCTCTAGGAAACAAGAGCATATTACAATGGAAAGGGAAGAAATAGAACGTCAACGTAAGCTTCTTGGTAAGAAAAAACCAAGTACAGCCCAACAGAAAGGAAAGGGTACTAATGGAAGTTCCACGAGTCTGACCAATGGGGATTTCCTGAAACCAGAGCCACCAAAGGAGTGAGATATATTCATGTTTATTTTCTATACAGTAATAACATGTTTTATAATTTAAAACTATGCTGTGGGCAATGAACGTACAAATGTAGTTTCATGGTATGCACTTGAAAAAATTTGGACAAATGTGACACTTGAAGCGTCGACCAAAGCTGTGGATGATAATTCTACAGTTTGTTCCTCTTTAATTAAAAAAAAAAAAGAAAAATGTTTATTCATAACACTGTGATTATTTACTCTGTTGACTAAAATAAACAGTGTTGCAAGAAGCTTCAATGCCAGAATTAAAATTTTAGTATGAATGTTTAATTTATTACTGTTAAAAAAAAAGGAATTTTTAGATTTAGAATCACACTGCCATTAAGAACATATGTTGTAGCTTCAGAAACATTTTGATAGATATGTAACTTTGTTTATTTCTCAATGTAATGCATTAGTGAATTTTTAAATAATCGGGTATATAATTTATCAGTTCTTTGTTTTTATAATCTTGAAAACTTTTAACCTATCTGTTGTTCAGCAATGGATATTTACACAAGAATTTCGAGTTCACAAAAACCCCTTCACCTTCTGACAAGAATGATGGATTTTTATATATTTAATTTTTGCAATAATACCAAAACACAAAACCTTTAAATTAAACGTAAGGTTCCACATATTCCAGTTTTACATTTGACTAGCCTAGTAGATTTTTATTGAATTTAAAATTTTCATTAGAATTTTCTTTCTTTTGAATACTAACACAGGATTTTCAAATTATTTAAAATAAAGTAGCAAATTTTGTCACTTTGTAATGATATAAATAATAATAATAATCCCTGTAGGCTCCCACTGGAGCATAGGGCCCCAACAACACCTCGCCAGCATAAGTTGTTGTTGCAGTAATTTTTTAGCAGGTTGGTTTTTATGGGATGGAGTTGCTAGCCCCGCGCCCAACCCTCCTCCTTTCTCATCCTGGACTTGGGACCAGGCAATGGTGGTGGTATCCCTGCCGAGGAACAAATCCGGTACCTTTGGATTAGAAATCCAACACGCAATCCACTGCGATATAGGGACACTTGTAATGATATAATGCTAAATATTAATAAATATACACTTGTAATATAAGAACTCTTATCTACTTGATGGGCCCAGCATGTCCAGGTAGTTAGGACGTTCAACTCGCAATCTGCGGGTTGCGGGTTTCGAATCCCCCGTCACACCAAACATGCTCGCCCTTTCAGCCGTGGGGACATTATAAAGTGACAGTCAATCCCACTATTCGTTGGTAAAAGTGTAGCCCAAGAGTTGGCGGTGGGTGGTGATGACTAGCTGCCTTCCCTCTAGTCTTACACTGCTAAATTAGGGACGGCTAATGCAGATAGCCCCTGTGTAGCTTTGAGCAAAATTCATAACAAAATACAAATCTCCTTGATGGGGTCCCACCCCCCTAGGCTTCAATACCCATGTTGGGCACAGTACAGATAGTCCATTATGAAGCTTTGCGCTTAACAATAAACAATTTCCTTGTTTCCTTAAAGTTAATCAGAGAAAGTTTATGAAAAGTTTGCAGCAGTTGTTAATCTTTTTTTGTTTATGGACCACAATAGGATTTATCCGCTATGCTACTGCTTCAGTTTTATAATAATGCAACCTTTCCAGGGACCACAACTTGGGACCTGCTGCTTTAATGTTATTTTTAGTCTTCTGATTCAAAAAAGTACAGATTGTTCAACATATCCAATGTACTTTTGTTACACAAAGGCTTCAGATGATAATTATCTGAAGAAGAAAGGTCCACCTTTTGAAAGCACTTGGGTTATAGGGTAAACAAACATGATACGTTAAAACCCAAATATTTTAGGCTTAAGGTCCCGATTTTTCTTTATGTGCAATATGCTGTTGAATAACAGTTGAGTTATAATAATAATAGTTTATGACAGTAGCCATTACAGCAGTACGATAAAGAAATTGAACTTGTCAACACAAGATTACTGCATGTGAAGCTGACTTTATAAGTTGACTTAACAGTATCTGAGCTAGTCACATGGATACCATGAATTGTGATAACTGTATTAGCCAGAGTACATAAAGCTATGAAGGATCACAACTGTGACTTGTGGTTTTGTGACTTACAGTGTCCTTCTTCCTTGTTTCTAACAAGACTTTAACATATGGTTGGTAGGAATCAGTTTTCTCTCTCACAAGACAGCATTGCTTACTTGAGCATTTTTCATGCAAACCTGTGGAACAATTATCATTAATTTGAATATGGTATTGTAAGTGTTGGAATGAAGTATGTGGGACTCAAGTATGGTATTGTAAGTGTTGGAATGAAGTATGTGGGACTCAAGTATGGTATTGTACGCGTTGGAATAAAGTATGTGGGACTCAAGTATGGTATTGTAAGTGTTGGAATAAAGTATGTGGGACTCAAGTATGGTATTGTAAGTGTTGGATTATAGTATGTGGGATTTGTGTATTGTATAAGTGAATAAAGTTGTTAGAAGACAGGTCAGATCAATATGAATTATTGTGAAATTAGATTTAATGAAAAACAATTCCATATAAGAATACTTACAAAACCTTATTTTTTGTTGTACATTCTGTTCAAAACTGACCATGCATAACACGGTGTTTGATGATTGTGTTTCTTACACTGACTGTAATAGAAAGAATTTGAATCAATCTTCTCTTTCACCACTTGCCTTTAAAGCTGACTTCATGTGATTTTACTGAACTTCAGAAACATCTGTACATTTCAGGCTAAGTTGGTACGATTACTATGAACAAGAGGAGATATTAAAGTTACGACAGGCAGCACTAAAGAAAGAGGACATGGATCTACAGATGGAGCTGGAGAAACTAGAACGGGAACGGAACCTCCACATCCGAGAACTGAAGAGGATACACAATGAGGACCAGTCGAGGTAAGAGTTAAGACGAAATTATGTTTCTTTAATTTAGTTGTGGTTGCAGTGCAACTACAACTTAGAAACAGTAAACCTTTTGGGTTATCATATAATTGTCATATATATATGTGTGTGTGTTTGATTTTGTATACACGTGTTGTATGACAAAACTTGTGTCATGATATTACAGTGATTAAGTTAACAGTTAAACTTGTACAAAATATTGGAGTCTAATCAATAGGTAAAACCGCTATTGTTATATGTTATGATGTAATTGTTAACCAACTAGTTGTAATAATAATATTTTTATTGTTTTTGTTATCTTATAAGCCAGTGAATCTTGACTGGGAGCCCATAAAAGAGAACAGTAATTTCCTATATATAATTTAAAATATTAAATCAGTATTTTCTCTAGCATTCTCACCTGATCTTCACTACGCTCATCCCATCATGTGCAAAGATCAGATCAACATTTGGCTTATTCTATCATGTTTGGAGATTGCCCTCTTGATCAAATCACCATTGGATTTATTCCATCATGTGTGGAAACTGCTGTTTTAATCCATTTCATCATGTGTGGAAACTGCTGTTTTAATCCATTCCATCATGTATGGAAACTGCTGTTTTAATCCATTTCATTATGTGTGGAAACTGCTGTTTTAATCCATTCCATTGTGTGTGGAAACTGCTGTTTTAATCCATTACATTATGTGTGGAAACTGCTGTTTTAATCCATTACATTATGTGTGGAAACTGCTGTTTTAATTCATTCCATCATGTGTGGAAACTGCTGTTTTAA